TTTTTCATTTTTAAAGTACTTTTAAGAAAAAAAGCAGGGCCTTGGAAGTTTTGGTTCTTTTTTCCTCCCCTTGTTGCAAACTCATGTTGTGGTTTGGTTGGGTGGCGCTGCCCGAGGTGGGCGGGCGGACTCTCTACACCAAGGTGACCACGTTTAGATTCTGAGACGGGAAGTGGAGGGCGAATAGGTCACGGTGGCCTTTAATTATTTTTAGGGGTTTTTGTCTTTTCTTAAATTTCACTTTTCCTTTTTCGCTGTCCAGTCATCCTCATCATCTTCAGCTGCCCGCTTGGCCGTAGCTGCCTCAGCCTCCTCATCTTCATCACCATCCTCCTCCTCACCGTCACCTTCCTCCTCTTCCTCCTCCTCCTCCTCCCCCCTTCTTCCTCTTCTTCGTCTGCCTCGATGCCAGCCTCCTGTTCCCCATTTTCCCCGTTAACGGGGGAGTCTGGTCCATTCTGGGCTTCCTCCGCTACCTCCTCCTTCTCCTTCAAGTCCTTGGTGGTGATCCCTGAGCTGGTGTCCACGGCCGCGTCTGACATGGTGGGGCACGCCGGTGATCCGATGCAGCGGATGCCAAGAAAGCGTGACTTCTGGGACTCTGGCCAGAAAGCTGCAGGAGTCCGCGGTGGCAGCCAAGGAGGAGGAGGAGGCGACAGCGAGCAGCGGAGGTGGCGGCGGTGAGCAAGGAGCCAGACCCAGGAACAATGCCGATATTTCTATTTCTAACTTTTTGAGAAAGTGCCAGGCCGCCTTCCATAATGGTTGTACCATTTTACATTCGAACCAGCAGTGAATAGAATGAGAGTTCAAATCTCTCCACAACTTAACCAACATTTGGTTTTTGCTGCCCTGTTATACTTTGCTATTGTTGCTGGGATGAGATGATATCTCATAGTTACTTTTCAAACCTGTTCTTGAAATGATTTTTAAATTCTGGTGGAATAAATTCAAGAACATATTTTGGCTCTCATGGACTTTTAAGCCTCTTCACCTTCAGCTGAACTTGCATATGAATAACTTATGCTTTGTCCTGTAGTCGGCGTCTGGCCTGCTTTCCCTGCTGGTGCTGACCTGCTCCACAGCCTCTTCCCACAGACACCGTAGGTCTGATGGCTGGGTAGTCTGAGTGGCCCATCAGGTGAGTCTGGTTGGACATTGTAATTGATTAATTACATAACCAATTATAATAAATGGTATAAAACAAAATATCTATACATTATTGAATGGAAATCCAGTATGATTTATACACTTTTATTTTTAAAATAAAGGTTTCGTAAAATGTCATAACATGGATATACCTTAATAAAAATTACTTTTCAGCTCTCCAATATAATAACTATTGTGTGTAACAGATGTAGCCCTGCATGTGCTCACCAGTCCATCCCAGGAAATTTAGAGAATAGGCATCTGACTAACTGGCTGGGAGAGATCTATATCTGTTCTCATTCCCAAAAAGGTGATCCAACAGATCGTGAAAATTTTTGAACAATATCTTTAATAACACGTACAAGCAAACTAATGCTGAATATCATTCAAAAATGGCTAAAACAGTGCATTGACAAGGAACTGCCAGAAATTCAAGCTGGATTTAGAAGAGAGTGTGGAACCAGAGATATCCATTGGTGTCAGACAGATCTGGCTGAAAGCAGAGACTCTCAGAAGAATGTCTGTCTGTGTCTTATTGACTATGCAAAGGCATTTGACTGTGTGGATCATAACAAACTATGGCTAACATTGAGAAGAATGGAAATCCTAGAACACTTAACTGTGGAAAACCCATACCTAGGCAAGAAGCTATTGTCAGAATAGAGCAAGAAAACAGCATGGTTTAAAATCAGGAAGAGTGTACAGCAGGGATGTGTCCTTTTTCAATTCAGTCTATACACTGAGCAAATAATTCATGAAACTGGGCTCTACGAATATGAATGTGCACCAGGATCAAAGAGCACTTTCAACAACTTGTGTCACGCAGATGACACAACTCACTTGCTTAATGTGAGGGGGACTGAAATGCCTGCTAAAGAAAATCAAGGACACAGCCTTGACTGTGAGTTACATCTTCACATTATGAGAACAAAGTTCCTCACCGCTGGCCGATAGACAACACCCCGATGCGTGGAGAAAAGATTGAATCTGTCAATGGTTTCGTCTTGCTTGGGTCAACAATCAGCATCCTTGGAACCAGCAGTCAGAGATCAGAAGACATGATGCATTGGACAAATCCACACTAAGGTGCGTCTGATTCAGGCATGGTCTTTTCAATCACTTGCTATGCATCTGAGAGCTGGACAAGAAATAAAGATGATAGAAAAAGAATTGATGTCTCTGAGTTGTGGTGCTGGAGAAGAGTGCTGACTCCCGTGGAAGGCCAGGAGAACAGAGGTGTGTCCTGAGGAAAGTGCAGCCAGCGTGCTTCTCGGAGGCAAAGATGGTGATGTTTCAACTGTCATACTTTGAACATGTTACTGAAAGAGGCTATTACTTGGAAAGAGACATCATACTTGGAAAGATGGAGGGTCAGCGAAGGAGAGAGAGACCCTCAACCAGGTGCATTGACACAGTGACTGCAGCAATGGGCTCAAGTGTGTCAGAGATGATGAAGATGGCACAGGATGGGACAGGGCTCAGGTCTACTGTTCAAGGGTCGCTAAGAGTCATATTGATTTGGTGGCACCAAACAACAACAATAAACGTTGTATCAAGTCTCCTCCCACAGAAGATGGTGGCCTTATTCTAATTTGAGGGCAAATTACTGCCTGTAACAGCTGTGTTGAAATTTACACAGCAGTGAGATTGAGGACTAAGGTGCGTCTGATTTAGGCCCCAGTCTTTCAATCGCTTGCTCTGCATCTTAGAGCTGGCTAATAAATAAGGATGACAGAAGAAGAATTGGTGCCTTTGAACTTTGATGCTGGAGAAGAGCACTGAACATCCCAAAGACGGTCAAAAGAACAACCAGAGATGTCCTGGAGAAGGTACCGGCAGAGCGCTCCTTGGAGGCAAAGATGATGAGGCTTCCTGACTTTTACTTTGGGCTTGTTGCTAGGAGGGGCTATTCCTTGAAGAGGGCATCATACTTGGAAAGGTAGATGGGCGATAAGAGAGAGGACACCCCTGGACAGGGTGGGTTGACACAATGACGGTGGCAATGGGCTCAGTTGTGTCAGAGATGATGAGGCCGGCACAGGACAGGACAGAGTGCAGCTCTGTTGTTCACAGGGTCAATATGAGTCATATTTGACTTGATGTCACCTAACAACAACAATAACAAGCGAATGTCATAAATCGTTGGGCCCATAGATGTGGACGTCTACATGAAATGAATGTATTATACCACCCACCCCCGCTCACCCAGGAGGAATGTGTGTTGTTGTTGTTGTTGTTGTTGTTGTTGTTGTTAGGTGCTGCGAGGTTGACTTGGAAGCCCAGGGACGCTGTGCACAGCAGGCGGACACCTCGTCTGATCCCGGCACACCCTCATCATCTCCATTCTCCTTAAGCCCATCCTTGCTGTCCCTGGGCCAGTTCATCTCACTGGGGGTCTCCCTCTCCCGGACCCTTCCCTTTCCCAGCAGGAGCCTCTTTCCAGGGACTGGTCCCTTCTGACAACACGCCACAGTGTGTGGGACGAAGCCTCGCCATCTTTGCTTCTGAAGGACATCCTGTTACCTTCTTCCAAGACAGATATGTTTGTTACCCGACCGTCCACACTACCAACAATTCTCTTCACCGTCACCACAGTCCAAAGGCATCAGTTCCTCCATCTTCCTTACTCATTGTCCAGCTCCCAAGAACCTGTGGAGCAACTGAAACACCACAGAGTCAGGCACGCTGCAGCTGCCGCCCAGGCTCCTCAACACTTTAAAGAGGTCCTGGATGCGAGGTTTGTCCAGTGAAAGATGACACTCCATTTCCTGCCACTCTCCAGCCCCTCCTGGGCCTCTCTCTGGCCTCCTCGAGGGAGGTGAGCTGGGTCTACTTTGGGCAGAGAAGGGATCTTGGGGGAAATTGAGGCCTCGTGTTTTTTTAGAATATGCCGGAACCAGTTCTGGCAGGAGGAGGCCACCTCCACTCCGCATCCACATTAAATGTGCTGTGACAAGTCCAAGCTGTCCTGTTGGAGGGGCATTGGCAATTCTGTGTGGCCCGGCTGCCTGACCAGGACCCTTTGCCTGTCACAGCCCCCAGGGGCATCCTTCACCACTGTCTTGAGGACAGGTGGCTCAGTCCCTTGTCCTCAGGGGCTGGTCCACTGGCATTCCCTCGAAGGGATTCGCACCAGCTTTGAAGCCAGGCCTTGTGCACATCTGGGAACTGCTGCTTGGGGCATGAGGCCTGTAAGGCTCAGACAGATGGGGCCCACTGAGTGGACACAGAAAAAAGTGGCCTCAGGAAGGTGGCAGTGGTCACAGCCTGTTCTCAGTGTGAGCCTGGGCAGCTGCTTGTCCTCAGGCTGGCCCCCACAGGGATGGTCACGGTACTCTCTGCCATGTCCTCTCATCCTGGTGCTCAAGACTGACCAGAGGCACCTGCTCTGGGGTCTTTTCTGCAGATCTGATGTCTGGAGGGACTGGAGCAGTGACTAGAACCCTTCAGTCCTCAGGGAAAGGCCAGGGCTCTGGGCCAGCACAGCAGCCCCCCACATGTCTGAGCATTGACCGTTCCTCTTGCCGCAGGAAGGACACAGTGGGTGTGCAGGAGCAGAGCAGAGGTGAGGAGCCTGGCAGGGCACCTGTGAGTCACACACAGGCCCCAGGAGGGTGCCAGGCCTGGGAGGGCAGGGCCTCAGGAGGCTGCAGGTGAGAGGCATCTGTGTGTTCCCAGGTGCCTGGGCCCAGGTGGCCAGTCCCACGGCTGCTCCTCCTCAGGGCTGGTGGGAGCCGCCTGGTCACCACACAGCTCAGGCCCTGCATGTGAGCCTGATGGCGGAACTGAATGTGTCCCTGGCCTTCTTCTGCAGCACCTTTGTGGCCTGTGAGGCAGCCAGGAGGGCCTGCAGGTGGCTGCTCCCTGCTGGCACCTGTGCCAGCCTGGCCCAGGAGGCTGTGGGTGCGGCTCAGCTGGCGGCCTGCTGCCTGGAGCTGCGGGTGCTGGTGGAGCTGGGGCCATGGGTTGCTGGCCTGGGGGCCGACCTACTGCTGACATTGCTCTTCCTGCTTTGCCTGGGCCATGGCGTGTCTCTGGACAGGACCTGGGCCAACCCCACAGTGGCCCTGCAGGACCTACTCCTGGTGGAGGTGTCCCTGCCCAGCACCCTGCTGAGGCTTGTGGCCCAGGCCCTCGGCATGGCAGCCGCCTGCATCCTAACCCAGCTCTGCTGGTCCTGGGAGCTCAGCTCTCTGCACCTTTTCCAGAAGCTCCTGGCCTCAGAGTGCAGCTCCACGCTACGCACATCCGTGCCCCACGGGGCCCTTGTGGAGGGCGCCTGTGCTCTCTGCTTCCACCTGACCCTGCTCCGGTTCCGGTCCAGCCCTCCTGTGCACCGAGTGCCAGCCATCGCTCTGCTGCTCACTGTCCTGGGCTACATAGGTGAGCTGGCCCTTGAGTCATCCCGGAGCTCCACTGGGAACAGCCAGGGAGGTCCCCACTGGGACACCTGGTGGGTGAAATGGACTCGGTGTTGTAGGAGGCCCTTCCTCCTGGCCTGGCCTTCCCTTCCAGACGTCTCACCTGGGCAAGGGGCAGGGTACCCTTGGGATGGGAGAGTGCCACTTCTCCAGCCCCCAGGTGGGCGAAAGGAGCAGAGCTTTCCATGATGGTCTTTTCACGGAGGGGGACAGAGGACCTTCACTGGGCAGCTCTGGGAACAGCCTTATAGGAGGATAAGGACTGACCAGACCCCACCCCCAGAGCTCCCTGTTTTAGTGGGAGTCAGGGGTGCTCAGGTATGGGGTGCAGCACCCACATACATGTAGGCACTAGAGTGAAGCAGGGAGAGTGCTAAGGGAGCCCAAGAAGCCTTCCAGAAACTTCCATTCTGGGGCCAGCCAGGGAGTCAGCCAACAAGGAAAAAGCCTACCAGTCACTGCAATGTCACTGCACCAGCTGTACAACAGAGGCCACAGGGAGTGACCCTGCAAAAGGGAAACTGAGGCAGGCCAAACCTTGCAGGCCAGGGCTCAAAGCCAGACTGTGGGTCGTGGGAGCCCTGGGGGACAGGGCAGGGCATATGTCCAGCCTAGGGGTGAGATATCATGCTTCCTGCACAGATGTGTCTCTCACTGCTCCCTGGTCCTGTGGCCTCAGCTGGCCTGGCCTGGCCTCTGTGTCCCTCTGAAGGCAGGTGGAGGTGGGCAACCAGGCCTTGTGACACATGGGTGGGTTTCTGCTTCCAGTCCTGGTGCTGCATCTGATCTGCCCTCCCTGCTCCTACTCCGCCCCTACAGCTGGACCCTTCACATCAGCCTTCTTCAACCCCACACTGGCCTCTGTCATCACCTTCAGCTGCTCGGGGAACACCTTGCTGGAGTACATCCAGGTGTACTGGCTAGGCCCTCTCGCAGGTAAAGAGCTGACCCTCCCCAACAGGGCAGGCCTGGACAGCCATGCCAGGGAGGCAGTAGTGGAGGAGTGCTCCCAGGGACCCGAAGCAGCCTCAGGCCACATGCCTGAAGTAAGCCAGCTCACTGCTCTCACCCAGTGTGGCCCACCCTGGTGTGTCCTGAGACACCTCCCCATGGTCTTGCCCACCTGCCAGGTCCTAAGGGCTCCCCACAGGCAGCATAGATCTGCTCCCAGTGTCTCTGAGGCTGTAAATCCGTGGAAGCCTGTTGCCTCATCGGCCCCCCAGGAGCAGATGACAGGCTCGAACTGCTGACTTCTTCCTTAGCAGCCTGGTGCTCTCTCCACGGTGCCACCTATTTACAGAGTTGCTCTGAGTTGAAATAGACTTGATGGCAGGGGTTAAGGCCTGCTCTTCCCTTGCCTCCTCTGGAAGCCCCTCCCCCACCCCACCAGGCTGCAGTTCTGCGCACACGTGGGGGAGAGGAGGCCACAGGCCAGGCTACCCTCTCCCCGTCACCAGCCAGCTCGCCCCTATGCTCACCTCACTCCTAGTCCCACCTCAGGATGGTACCTCAGCCACAGGACAGTGGGAAAGGCGTGCCCCATTCTGGGGGTGGTTGCAATGTTCCCAGAGGCAGTCTGGGGTGGACAGGGCTCCCCTGGTATCTCCACCACCATGGCCTGACCCCTGCACCATGGGGAGGCCTTTGAGGAGGTGTGGCTGTGAGAGTTAGGCTCAGGTGGGCCCAGGGCCAGGAGGGTCAGCACGTGGTGCTGGCCTGAGGCAGGGCTGACATTGCCCTGGTGGATTTGTCACCTGTAGGCATGGTCCTGGCCGTCCTGCTGCACCAGGGCAACCTGCCCTGGCTTTTCCAAAGGAACCTGCTATACCGTCAGAAGAGCAAGCACCGAACTCCCAGAGGGAAGCCAGCCCCAGTGCCTGGGCAGCCCACGACCACAACAAAGGGGCAGAGCCCAGGGGACACTGGGGGGAGGAGCAGGGCAGGGCGGCCACTGTGCCCCCACTGACCCCTGCCACATTGTGAGCTCCATGTGGACCGTGCCAGATGCCCGAGGCCCCCAGAGCTGAGGGGGATGCACACCATTCCCCAAACACCATTGGCCAATAGGAAACCTTTTCATCAACATGGAAAAGAGGACAAAGAAGACGCAGAGACACTAAGACAGCAGCAATGTCAGGAATGAGGAGAAAAGCCTGCAACCGAGGGATCAGCATGGAGAGGTAGATGGACTGGGAGACCAGCAGCTGCGGGGCACAGCGAGCACGCAGTGCCCGTTACGTGGGCACAGGAGAGAGGGACCACCCCTCAGCTCGTGGAGAGAGGCCACCATCACCAAATGCCACTGAGAGGCTCCCGGGCGGGATTCCTTTCAGACGGTTCTCCAGGGATAGCAAGGGAGGCAGAGGGGAATAAAAGTTAGCACATAGGGAAGCTGGAAAGTCAATATGCAGTACAGTGAGGAGACATTGTAGTCAATTTGTTATTCCATTGTAACTAATTAAAAGGGAGCTCTGGTGGCCTTTGGTTATGAAGTGTATGTGAATGATTGAATGAGATTGCAACATTAGAAAACAAAATGTTTCGATGATCAAATGAAAAACCAGTATGTTTTTAACTTTCCCTTCAAATGTAAAAGATGAAAGATTATGGAAATAAAAATTTGTTATCTGTAAACAAGTAAAACCCCAGCAGTCCAAGACCTATTTGTCTTCCTGGGCCTGAAGAAGTTTCTGGAAGGGTGGGCAGAGAGGGCAGACCTCAGTAGAGGGCAGGCTGGTGCCTCTCCTTCCCACAGCCTCCGCCTGGTCACTTGAAATGTAAGAATGCTAGGGAACTTGGAGGACAGTGGCAAGGACAAGGGTCCCCTTGTCACTACAGGTTTCCGTGGCAACACCTGGCTTTCCTGGTCAGAGTCACAGCCAACACAGGGCACATGAGTGCCCACCGCGCAGCTCATCTCCAGGTCCCTGGCAGGGTGGCGGGGTGTGGGCATCCTGCTGCCCCAGGGCTCACCCTCCGCAGGCTCAGTGGCCCAGTGAACCAGGCAAGCCTTCCTCAGCTTTGGGGCTCTGGCCATTCCCCTGTGTGCAATCTTCTGTCCCAAGGGGACAAGGCACCTCAGAGGTTCCCAGGTTCCCTCATCCTCAGCTGGGAGCAGCTCCTGGTGGTCCTGGGTGCAGGGGGTGGGGAGCCAAGATGAGGCCCTGGTGGGCTTCCCTGGACAAGCCCTCCTGGGCACACCTTTCTGCACTGGTTTCCCTGGTGAGAGACAGAGAAGACCCCCCGTTTCTGCCTCTGTGGAGTTTCCATGCTTAGTGCCCCATCCCCTGCCTAGCATGGGGATCACTCCTTGCTAGGAGGTCTGGAGCCCTGGCCTCCCTCTTCTCAGTCTGACCACCCTGCGGGCTTACCCTCACTTGGAGAGAGGCGCTGGACACCAGGATTCCCACTTCAGGAGGGATCTGCTCAGCCCCCAGTTCTGCTTTTTTCTCATAGTCACCCACTTGTCCAAGTCCTGAGCTCCTGTCCATGTGGCTCTGGGAGCACCACCAAGCACAGCCGTGTTTCTCCCTTTGCGGGGCAGGACAGCATAGAAGATCATGCACAGCCAGTGTTTTCACTGAGCACTGGGCACAGAGGGGGCAAGGAAGTACACAGGAGGCATGGGAGTCCTGGCCTGAGCATCAAGGAGGGCTTTCTGGAGGAGGTGGCCTTTGAGAGATATGTGGGCATGAAGTCTGCAAGAAGACAAACAAGATTAAATGTAGGAAGATGCTGAAGCAGGACAGAGGGGTGTACGAGGGGTAGTGGGGTCTGGGGTTGGGGGAGGTTGAAAGTTGGGAATAAGGACGTGAGGGAGAGTGAGGGGTCTGGAGTGGGGGAGAGGAGGGTTGAAGCTGGGTGTAAGAATGTGAGGAGGAGTGAGGGGTCTGGGGTTGAGCCCTGGAAAAGGCTCAGCTGAGTAGCTGAGTCAGAGCCCAGTGCACTGGACAAGCCTGCAGTGGGGCCAGACCGCTGTCCAGGCTGTCCTAAGCTCCCAGGGCTTTGAGCTGGAAGTGCAGGAGGGTGGCTGGGCTCACAATGGCCCTTGCTCATACTTCAGGAGGGAACTCAATACATCATGCAGAAAGGCCCAGATGAGCCATGATGAAATGGGGGGTGGGGATGGAAGCAGCAGAGCCAATAGCCAGGACTCTGCAAGAGAAGGGTCCTGCAGTCCCAGCACCTGCACAGGGGCCAGCTGTACAGATGTGGCCCCAAGCTGAGCATCAAGACTGGAGCCTCCAGGCTCAGAGTGCAGCCCTGGTCAGTAGGTGAGGGCGAGGAAGAAGCAAGCGGACAAGTGGATCCCGCAAAAAAGCAGTTACAGAAGTTAAGAAAATGATGCAAAGAATTTAGAATCTCTTTTTTTAAGAATACCACAGAACTGCCAAGCAAATATCCACAAAGTTTCCCACAGAAGTCCAGTTCCCAAATGGTCACATTCAAGGAACAAGAAAACAATTTTCAAATTAACTTCTAACCAAGGACTAGCATGAAAGGTCATTTCCTGGAAGTTGAAGACACAAAATGTACCAAGAGGTGTCGATTTGTGCACAGATCATGAAGCCATCCTCAGGTAGTTCCATGACTGCCCATTACTAATGTCTGCGGGGGAGACTCAGCACAGGACAAATCAGAATGAAGAGTCACATTTTTTGAGAGAATATCTCCACAAGAATAACTAGTTCTCAAGCTAAGATTTACATTCCACAGTAATGTATCAGAATCACATCCCGAAATTGTCACAATCTATATGATACATTAACTTATATAGATTATTACACACTCTAATAATCTATGTAATATGCTAACATTGTCACAATCTATGTAACACATTATGTAACAGTCTATACTATAGTTACATACCCAGCTTAACAATCTATATAACATGGCCACATTGTCACAATCTGTATGAGGTAATCTCAATAACAGTAGTCATGAGTGTATCTATAGTGTGATCCTTTGCAAAATTGAAAGTTACCAAAAATCATTCGTGATATTGCATTTGCCAATAGTGTTACTGTGTTTGGGTATATTGACTGAAAATTGTACTGCTATAGGTATAAATTCTGAGGCTCTGGTAAATGTTTTTGCAGAAAAAGTTATCCAGGAAAATGAGTCCCCAATGATTACACATGCAGACCGCTCACACCTCACAGAAGAACTTGACTGTGCTGTTGGCCATGTAGCATTTTAACGCCACAGCCATGAGACATATTTAAGTGGAAAAGCTTCCTAGTTTAGTGCCTCTTAACAAGACACAATTTTCATACAAAAATTTCAAGTGAAACAAGTATAAATGTGGAAGACAATTGTACGTTCGTGTATCCTGGCAGTGGATAATGTACCGATAAAACCATCAGGACGCGCTTGCACACCCCAGAGCCCTTTCCAAGCCACAGGGCAAGCCCTAGAACTTTCCTTCTGCACAGGTCCTAACAGCTATCCCCGCTGAGTCCTGGCCAGCTCGCGGGCCTTCTCCGGGAACTGTCGAAGGTACAGGCGCTGGCCGAACTGCAGCTCAGGGGTGGCCAGGTCGCGACAGATGTGCTCAGTGGCTGGGTCTAGGCCAGGCTTCAGCTCATAGCCCACGATGGGTGCCAGGCCATGATCCAGGGGCGCCAGCTGGGGGTCTCGCACTGCGCCAGGCATTGAGCCCTCCGCGTGCAGGAGACAGGTGCGCACCAACTGCTCCCGCCTGCGCCGCAGAGCCGCCACCTCGCTGTGCAGACGCCGGGCTCCCAGGGCGCGCAGCCGGGTCCACAGGGTGCGGTTGAAGTGCTGGTAGAGCGCCCAGTCGAGCGCGTTCCAGGCGCGGGCCCGGCTCTCCGTGGTGGCGTCCAGCGGCTCCCGGGAGTAGGCCGCACGCCGGTTGGCGGGGAAGGCCACCACGTCGTCCACCTCCCAGCACAGCGAGTCCCTGAGCAGCACCAGGGACTCGTCCCAGTGCTCAGCGATCAGTACCAGGTCGAAGCGCGCGGCCACGGCCTGCACCATCTGGGTGGTGAGCCGGCGCGTGGGCTGCGCGTTGTGGTCAAAGCCCAGGTCGAAGGCCATGAGGTTGCGCGCGTAGTGGCTGTCGGGCTGCAGTGGCCTGTAGAAGGCGTCTCTGTGCTCCAGGAAGTGGCCCACGTTCTGGGCGCGGACGAAGGGGGACGCCGCCTTATAGTAGGAGAAGGCAGACTCGAGGAGACGGGCGGGGTCCCGCAGAATGGTGAAGTAGAAGGTGTCACGGGGCATGAGGCGCTGTACCTGCAAGGGGCGCGGGGAGGGCTCAGCGCCAGGCGCCCTGTCCACCCACTGCGGACAGTGGCCCCGGGGAGGCCGGGGGCTGTCCTCGGCACCTAAATACTCGCTTTAGCCACACAGCACAACCCACCTCCCTCCTTCCCAAGAACACCACCTCTAACTCCTCAGGCCACTGCACTCAGGCGAGCGTTCAGGGCAGCGGAAGCAGGAACCCTCTGCCCCTGCCACCCAGGTCTTCCGGGCATGCTGGGGTCGCTCAGGGGGGTGTGGAGGCGGCATGGGGTAGGCATGTTGTGTGCCAGGCGCAGAACTCGCCTCTGCAGGCTGGAACCGCAGGTGCTGGCCCAGGATGTCAAAGCGAGGGCCCCCGTGGTCGGAGAAGCCCTCGACATCTCCAGCTGAGAAGGGGCGAGGGTAGGAGAAATGAGGGGCGCCGCCGGTGGGTAGGGCAAAGGTCAGGCGGTGCTTCTCCCCGAAGCGGAAGAGAATGTTGAGGATGGTACTGCTGGCACTCTTGTGCACCTTCAGGAAGAACACGTGGGTCCGGGGCTGGCAGCCGCTGGAGGAAGCTGGGGGGTCGGGCTGCTGGGGGGCCGAGACCCTCGGGAATGCTGCTTCCGCCCTGGGCTCCGGGGCCTCTGCGAGCTGCGCCCATGGTCGCGTCTGGGCACTTGGTGCCGGAGGGATGGGCAGCTGGCCAGGGGCTGGAGAAGT